CTATGGAAGATCGTCTGCCCCTATTCTTGAGGCATGGCTTATTCTTCCCACTTTCTTATCTGTAAACCAACCATCCATTTACGACAGCAAGATCAATCAACCAGCCAAATATCCTAAGATACCATCTTCTAGATTTTAGCGGAACTCTGTACAACTCAATAAGCATACCAGCTAAATCGACACCCCCCCCATGTGCTTATTATATTGTTGAACTATTTTTGGGCATGGCACATCTACTTTTCTTTTCTCGGCGGCGTTCCATCTCTTCACAGAGCCTAGGAGTTGTACTCCGACAAAGGAACTTGCCAAAGTAACAACTTTGTTATCTACCCATTTTACTGCTATAAGTTTGTTGTTCTCATCATACCAAAAGTCATATCTTCCGCTTCCCTCCTTTTGTAACTTGCGATCATCTTTGAAGGGACAATTTTTTAGCCTATTTTATCGCAAGGTACCAAGTGACTTTATTTGCATTTTCTCCTTTAGATACGCAATTAGGTCGAATGTACAAAAAAAGTTATCGACAAAAAACCAACGCGGGGGGGGGGGGGGGGGGTATTGCCTTGCAGAGTAAAATCACCACTTGTTCACCAATACCAAATTTTTGTTCCTCTTCATTTAGATCGGTAATCATTCCTTTTCCTGTGTAGGGAACAAAGTCATAAATGATTTCTGATCCTCCACAGCGCATAAAAAACTTATAACCCCATTTATGCGGCTTGTTCTGTATATATTGACGTAAATTTCAATTTCCGGCCCTTGTACCCTTATAAGGGATCATCATTTCATCTATAGAATGATGAGATTCCTGTTCTAAATTTCTGCATTGGAATCGCACAATGTTCAGTAAAGGATGAATTTTTTAGAGCCTATCAGTAGCAGTTGACGCTTCTTGATTTTCGTGATTGTTTGCAAAATGTAAAAATCGTCTCAATTTTTGAAATCTTTTTAGACTCATTACATCAGCAATTTTATCATATCTATATTGTTGACTCCAGTAATCAGTATATGATGGAAACTCTATTACGCCCATAAAGACTAGTATTCCTATAAATTGTTGAATTTCTTTATCATTTGTATTTATGGAGTTACCAGTTACCTGTACAGAATATAGATTAGTTTGTGAACTTGTCAGGGTAATCATTTCTGGCGTAAAATTTTATAAAAGTACGTAAGTGGAGTCTCAGTTTCAGTATCATCACTTTCAAGGACATTTTCGGCATTGTTATTCTCCGTTACAACAATATCTTGTTTTCTCCAATGCGATGGCTGCATCTGAAACCCGTTTGCTCTGGACAAAACCTGTGAACGAAGTTGGACTAATGGAATCAAATCTTCATCACCAAATCTATAACTATCCTCTTCTAAAACTTCAGAAGGGAGTAAGTGATTCCTTCCAACATCACCCGTATTTTCTGACAAATTGGTTTCAGCGGCAGTAGCATCGGATAGAGTGGGATCCTTGGGAGGCAGGATAACTACCTGATTTTTACGTTTCCCGTAAAAAGTTGTTACATCCATTATTTTCTATAATTATTTTCTGTCCTGGCAATGATGATTGTAAGCAACACTAAATATGCGAAATGATTTCACCCTGTAAAATCGTAAAAACTAACTAAGAATAGTTATACACAAATTCTAACGTATATTTACCTCCAAAATATATGAAAAACAGCAGCGAATATATTTTTTTATATACAATTAACTAATATATACTGAGTGACATATAAATCCGAACACCCAGTTTAAATGGTTTTATTTTAATAAAATTTTGTATAAGTACTTAATGAAGCATAATAAGTAAATGATAAAAATTTCAAAATGATTGAACTGCTTTAAAGCCCTTTGACCCTTAATAATGTGTGGATGCACCCTGATGTGCTACGCATTCTCCAACGCGCCTAGGCATGCTTCTGATCAGGTGGTCAATGTCCTCCTGTGGTATCTCATTCCAGGCAACCACCAACTCCTCTCGAAGTGCTTCTAGAGTCTGAGGAGGACGTTGCAAATTGAGCAATCTCCTACCCATCATATCCCACACGTGCTCAATTGGGGATAAGTCGGGAGATCTTGGTGGCCATGGTAACAATGTGACATCATTATGTTGAAAGAAGTCTATTGTGACTCTTGCAACATGTGGTCGGGCATTATCTTGTTGGAAAGTTGGATCTGCCAGGGTGTCAAGATAGGGTAAAAGATGGGGTTCTAGAACTTCGTGGATATAATGCTGCGCGTTCATGTTACCTCTGATGAAGATTAAAGGTGACCTGGAACCATAAGCTATAGCACCCCAAACCGTAACTCCAACAGTGTGATGAACATGTCTTTCAACAAAAAACTGGATTCCTCAATTCACCACGTCGCCTTCAAACCCTGGTACGACCACCGTACATGCCTAAACAAAATCGAGACTCGTCACTAAAGACAATACTGTTCCATTCCTGATCCCAGAGTGACCGTTGTCTGCACCACTCAAGGCGATTACGTCGGTGTAAGGGTTAGAAGGCTACGTGACGAAAGGAGGAATCCACAGTTTTCTGTTGAAAGACATGTTCATCACACTGTTGGAGTTATGGTTTGGGGTGCTATAGCTTATGGTTCCAGGTCACCTCTAATCTTCATCAGAGGTAACATGAACGCGCAGCGTTATATCCACGAAGTTCTAGAACCCCATCTTTTACCCTATCTTGACACCCTGGCAGATCCAAGTTTCCCACAAGATAATGCCCGACCACATGTTGCAAGAGTCACAATAGACTTCTTTCAACATAATGATGTCACATTGTTACCATGGCCACCAAGATCTCCCGACTTATCCCCAATTGAGCACGTGTGGGATATGATGGGTAGGAGATTGCTCAATTTGCAACGTCCTCCTCAGACTCTAGAAGCACTTCAAGAGCAGTTGGTGGTTGCCTGGAATGAGATACCACAGGAGGACATTGACCACCTGATCAGAAGCATGCCTAGGCACGTTGGAGAATGCGTAGCACATCAGGGTGCATCCACACATTATTAAAGGTCAAAGGGCTTTAAAGCAGTGCAATCATTTTGAAATTTTTATCATTTACTTACTATGCTTCATTAAGTACTTATACAAAATTTTATTAAAATAAAACCATTTAAACTGGGTGTTCGGATTTATATGTCACTTAGTATACATGTAAATAGTCTGGTTGAAGAAGTAGATTCCTAATATGAAAAAAAAAATAGAATATAGGGAGGAGTATAACATCAATAGTGTACCTGTGTCATATTTTTCACTGTCCATCGATTTACTGTTTTTTTATTTTTTATTCAAATGTATATCCCACTTTTAAATGTGGTGCTTTTTGGGAGTTTAAAATATGTGCAGTTGTGTGTCCTTAATGTGCAAGGGTGCATCATGTAACTATAAAAGATCACTTACTGTTAACTTTATTTTTTCACTGTTATACTATCCTGGTTGAAGTAAGTTTCCTCATCACATCTTTTATCACAACCACTTTCAACACAAGGCTTCACGTCCGTTGTTGTATTTTCGTAGCACTTTTGTTTTTTAACACTATCCTCCAGTGACTCGTCTGTATCGCAAGGCCGTTTATTTCTGGGAAAGTTCAATCTTAAATCCACGCCATCGGTGTTTTTTGTGAGGACACGCTGTTTTCAGTATCGGAAATCAGCCAATTTTTCAGCTTTTTCGGTACATCCTGTGCAGTAATCTGTTTGACCGTCGACTTTCTTCACGGGACTCGCATCTTTGTCGTCGAACGACTTCGATACAAATTTTGTTAATTTCTCCATAACTACAACGATTATCTCAACGTATATTTCCGAACATTCATATGGAACTGAAATCACCATTTGAATTTCGGAGAGGTGGTCGTCATGGTAACATTTGAGGATGAAATAGGGGCGAGTTTCGGGCAAACTCCACCCTCGCTGCCCTAACTCAACTTTCGGTTGGTTGATTCCACCCAGGGCTGAACCCACCCTCGGTGTTTTCAGGATCTGGCCGACACCCCTTATTTATTATTAGTCTGAAGCTGAGCTGTGAGTTGTGCTCTTTTTTACGACCCTCTGGAAATTATGTAGATTTATAACCGTGAAAATTACTCGTATTAAGCATTATTTCATGAGATAACCCGTGTTTGTGCTGTGACAGAACGGAGGAAAATGGTCTTTGATTATTATTATGACTGGTTTGTGGATTATGGATGGATTGTTTGTTGAACATACTTTTAGAAGATATAACACATGATTATCATCTGTGCGCTGTTATTTATCGTGTACGTTTACTGAATAGCTCCTGGGTAGATTCCGATTCCGACGTCACTTTGACCTAAGAACTGACGAGGTACCAAAAGATCAATTATCTGTCTCAAAATTACCTACAGTATATTCAGATAAGAGATAGA